GTGCTGCGCTGTGCTGCGCTGTGCTGCGCTGTGCTGCGCTGTGCTGCGCTGTGCTGCGCTGTGCTGCGCTGTGCTGCGCTTCATGTGAAGCTCCTGGCTTCAGCTTCAGTGCTGTAGGAGAGCAGCGGTTCCCTCCGCCGGACTTTTTTAAAAAATTTATTTATTTTAAAGCACGTGTAGCTGTTATACTTTATTAACTTCAGTTCCAACGAGTTGAAACCTCTGTCACTTTCCGTACTGCTTTTCTCCTGTTCTGTGTATCATCCATAGCGTGCAGCTTGCTCCGAGGCTCCTGTGACACCAAGCCTTCAGCTGCCCCGAGGAGCTCTTCATCCTCTGAAGCAGATCAGCGCGTTAGGAAACAGAACAGTGAGTAACCCTACAAGCTGTGCTGCAGTCCTTCTGAAAGCTGCACTTGTGAATGTCTGTGTGCTGCTACTGCTTCGTTCTTTTCTTTCAAGCTTTGTTGGTTCCTTTCTGCAGCTCATTGCATTCCTTCCAGATGTAAGAACATGGCTGTTCCAGTTTGTTTTCTATAAGGCCGTTTTATATGTGATCTCTACTGATTGGTGCAGTCTGTGCTTTAAGATACATGATTCAAGGACTTCACTAGATTTGCCTCTAGTGATATTTTCATGTTTGTTTTTTTTTTTTTGTACATAAAAAGTCCTTTGGGTGAAGCCTGGTAGTGTGAATCTGGATGGAGGGTATAAGCTTGGCAGAAGCTAATTTCTCAAAAAGGGCTTTTATCTAGAAGTCAGTCTCTGGACTTTGTTGTGTGCCTAGCTGACTAACACTGACTGCTTGAGTGCATTAAGAAAGCAGCTGGCTTTAGGTTGTGAGGTGGGTAGTCTAATGATCAGATAGCTTTTTGTCGCTGGTATAACAAATTAATTGTTTTTGTCTACCTTGGTGAAATTTTGTTAACTGTATGCACTCACACCCTTTTTCTTCACTGTTCTTTTCTGTATCCTCCTGCAGGTGAAACAAGTCTGAATGATGAGAATACAACTGCCTCTGGAGCTGGAAGAAGACTTGCATCTCTTGGATCACTAGTAAGATTTTTCTGTGGCATCTGCAGCACTGAGGTTAAAACCTCAGTGTGTTCATTTAAACCATGCACATCTCTTTTATACAATCACTTATCTATGTAAAATATGGAGCACATTATTGTGCCTGAATTCCTTATTAACAAAGGAGAGAAAGATAGATAAGTGGATTTTTGGGATCACATGATGATTACTTGAGCTTACAGAGTGGCTTGTTGGCTTTGCAGAGTGCCTGCACAATATTTTCATTAATGTGGATTGGTTTTTTTTTGTTTGTTTTGCGATTGTGTTTATTTTATTTGCATTCTTGCTCAGCATAGAACTATAACAAAGCTGCTTCTCTTAAAATCTTGTTTCTGTTTCTTTCATGTGGTGGCTAGACCAGAGCATGCACTTGATGGAGGAATAAAGAGGAGTTCTCAGTTCAATCTGTAAGGCTGGAGATTTGAAGATAGATAGGTTAAGGAGTTGAATAATAACTTACTAATTCAGTTTATTAGTACTTAGGATATAGGAAGAAGTTTTGCGAGCCCAGCTGCATTCAAGAGGTTAGTGTGGTGTTATGTAGCTGAAGAGATGTGTATGTCTCATGCCTTCTTGGTCTGCTTCCTATTGCAATGGCTGGGAGCTGTCCATTCAAGAAGGCACACCAGTACAGCTGGTCCTCATCTGTCCTATCTGTAGGAGAGTTTTTTCTTTTGTTACTGTTTCTTTAATAGTGTTGTCTATACTTATGTTTAACTGTTGCTGAACTAATATGTTGCTAGACATCAGTTAACATGTTTGTTTTCAACAGCCAGTTAGTGGGAGTCTGAAGCCTAGAAAAGATCTTATCCTTATGAGGGAGAAAAAGAAACAGAAGACACTGGAGAAAGAGGTATGAATAATCACTGAATTGCATTCACTTAATGTTGGCTGCTTTCCAGACTTAAAAAGAGAAGCTGGCATGATTTGCTTCTTTTACATAACATAGTGCAGCAGTTTTTCCCCTCAAAAACTGCTATAATTTTCAAGTTTAAGACGCAGCTAGCTTTTCCTTTCAGTACAGGTCTATGTACTCATATTTACTCTATTCATCTCAGATGTCACGTCTCCTTGGTTTGAAAACAGACACGTATTCTCTCACAAGTCAAAGACATGACTAACTCAAATTACAGTAGGCCAGTAGCACACAGTAAGACAGTTGAGAGTTAGAACTACAGTTGTGTGGCATGTAAAAAAATAATTCTGCATAATATCCTGTCTGAATGACAAAATTGAAGATCTCTGTTCTGAATGTAAGCCAATACAGTTCAGATAATCAGCCTTTTCAGGAAAACAGCAGTCATAACTTAAGGATTTTAAGAAGAATAATATCATAAAATAGAAAAGACCTCTTGTTATGTTCTAGATTCGTGCATTAGTGAGAGAACGTGGAGAGCAGGATAAAAAACTTCAGGCCCTGGATGAAGACTTTGTTAAGATGGAAGCTAAGCTGAGTGCTGCAGTTCAGGAGAAAACATCTCTTCTGGCAAATGTTGCTTGCCTGAAAAAACAGCTTCTGGAATTAACAAGAACCAATGAACTACTAAAATCTAAGGTATTCATACAGATGCTTATTTGCTTTGACTTGGTTGTTACTAACTTCCCTGGTCAAGAGTAATCTTCCCCATTGACACGTTTTCTGCACCCCTTCATTGCCTCACGTTCCGAGCGTGTCTTGTTTGGGACAGTGTGTGTCAGTGTAAGGACAGAGATGGGTGTGCTACCATCACTTACTGGGACACGTAGAGATCAGTGTTGTGGGTGGGAGGAAAATACTGTTTTAAAAGACTGAGTGTTTCATAGGAAGGTGTTATGCATACTGTTTTTTTTTTATCTATCTCTAATAAGCTATCTGAAGATAGTGTGCAGAAGAAAATGAGCAGTCTATGTATGGAGTTAATGAAGCTCAGAAACAAGAGGGATGCTAAGGAGAAGGTAAGCTGTTTTATACTGCACAGGACTGATCTGTTCAGGAACTACCAGTGAAGAGCTTGCAGCAGTTCTGCCTTTTTTTTTTTTTTTCTGTCCTCAACTCAAAATTTTCTGCTTTCCATTCAGTGGAATTAGGAAGGACAATCGATAACGAATGTTCCTCATTTTGCTGTTGATATGTAAAGTTCCTCTGAGCAAGGAACTCTAGAAGTACTTGTTTAAGTATCAGTTTGGTCAGGTAACTGATGTATTTGAAAAGCAGTAGCCTTAAATGAGCTCTTAGCCATGGTATGGGAACTGCTGAGTCACGGGCTGAGCCACTGATGGAGCACCTGGGGAAAGGACCTGGTCAGCCCTGGGAGCACAGGTGAAGGCAACTCAGCTGTGTGACCAGAGGGGCTGCAGCCTGGCTGCACCTCTCTTAGACCTCATTTAAGGGCTGACTGCCATGGGGAATGTTCTCTGGTTGGAGATCCCTTCTTTGTGGAGTTTTCACTGCTACCTAGAATTTTCTGATACAGGTGAGCAATCTTCCTTTACTTTATAGCACCTTTCTGTTATGCTGGTCCTTCTGTCATCACATCTCTGTTGCAATGCCTTTCCTATTGTATTGATCTGTCCAATTGCTACAGCTGTGCGTGGGTTTTCTGGGTTGTGCATGTCTGTAGTTATAGTGAACAGCTAATGTATCTGCAGATGGGTTATTTGAATATAGGAGTCACATTTAGCATAGCAGCTAGTACTGTAATTAAGTCCTTTTTATGGTTTAATTAAAAATTAATATGGCTCTAAGAAAATGGACTTTGTTCATACTAAATTCGGTTCTGGTGGTAACATTCATCTTTTTCCAGACTGCACTTGCAAAGCAGGAGAACATGGAAATGAAGCTGCAGGAAGTTCAAAGGAATTTGGAGCATTCAAAAGGAAAAGTAGCACAGTTACAAGAAAAGTTGTAAGTAGTAAGGAAAGGAATGGAAGTAGCAATGTAACTATTGTACTGAAGCATGTAGCTTAGAGAAAAATTAAGGTCATCCTTCTGTTGAGAGGAAACAGAGATTAGCAGTGGCCTGAAATTAGTTTTATGGAAGGATGTTTGGATGATGGCCACTGGAAAACTTTCCTTATATGAAAAGCGAATTTTTTTTTTTCCTTTTGTTCTCCTCTACTGTCTGATTGCTTGAATGTGAGCAGATGCTTTGTATTTATCTTTGTGTTTTTTAACTGTAATCTAATAATGCAGGTAATGTAATTGATGAAAGGAGGCAATGGTACTTTGTCTAGCTAATGCAGCCTATCTTACATACTCAGTTGTGGTAAAATGTACTACAGCATCTTTAGTGCAAATGGAAGCATCAGCCACACTTGATTATGGGAAGAATGTGTCAGTATTAAGTAGTGATCCAGTGACTGATTTTTAGTTGTTTGCCTGTAAACAAATAGCCTACAAGTAACTCTGAAGTGTTTAAATAGTGATAGGGAAAGTGTCCTGATTTTTTTTATTTATTTATTTTTATTTTTTAGATCTGCTACAGAGAGAGAGAAAGTGGATGATAAGTCTGACACTGAAAAACTCCTGGAATATATCACAGAGCTTGGGTAAGAATTGTTCTTGAACTGGATTGGGTACATTAAAAGGCAGCAAAATAAAGCTTTGTTTTTCTTGGTGAAGCAGAAGTTTGGGAACAATTCTGCTTAACAGTAATAAGGGGGGGGGAGGGGGGAGTGGTTATCCTTCCATGTAAATGGAAGGGAGTCAAAAGATGTGCCCATGTTTAGAAAGTTATTTGTATACAAAACTCAGCTTTTATTTTTATTTCCTCTGAGTTACTAAAAATTATGTATTGGAGGCATCACTTTAAAAAAAAAAGTGAACTTGGCAGTTTTCTGGTTTTTATTTTATAGCTGTGATGAATCATCCATGTTTCTGGTGCTTGAGGAGAATTATCAGTTTGACTGTAAACACTACCAGTTTAGTGCTGTGTAACAGGTGGAAGCACTACCCAGCTCCTCAGTTATGTGTACCTAGTCCAGAAAACTGAAAACACAAAAGCATTCCAATTTAGTTCACTTAAATCTGAACATTCCTTCTCCCTCAGTGTCCCACTTCTGCCTATTTGCTCAGTAAGAGGCTCCTTGTGAGCTTGCCTTAAGTTCTGGTTTATTGTGAAGTCTGGTTTATTTGTGTGTATGCTTTTCTGTCAAAACTCACTTCCTTTTAAAAAAAAAAAAAAAGTAATGATATAGTAATCATCTGTAAATGAAGTATAGTAACTAGTTCTGTTTTTAATTGAACTGAAGTGCATATTTTAAATTATGTGATTGTAAGCTTCTCTTAGAATACAGATTTTGATATCAATTGCATTTAATTTTAAATGCACCTGTTTCTAAATCAACCTGTTTTAATGCTGCAAAATAAGCCTAAGTAACAAAAGGAAGCTTTCCTGCTGAAAAGGAACACATTCAGTATTCCAAGCATCTCTCATTTGTGCTGAATTAAAATCTTAAAAATGAAGTTATGGTAACAAATAAATGTTATTCTACAGTAGTGTTGCAGAAACTGTAGAGAAATATAAACTAGATGTTGCTCAAATGGAGGAGACACTGATCAAGAAAGAGCAAGACGTGAAGATTCTGAGGGATACACTCAGAATGAAAGAGGAAGAATCAAATACACTGCTCAGAGCACTTAATGAACGGTGTGAGTTTCTAGAACAAGAAAAAGGTAATTGCTAGTTCTGGAATGCTGTTAACATAGTTGGGATCACATAGGCATCCTGTAAAAAAGTTTGTCTAAAATGCCACTGTGGATTTTAAGTGAAGTCATGTCTCAGCTTCAGCTGTGACCAGACCAGCCTGTATGGGAACAAGTCTGAGTCTTTATTTCCATGGAGACATACTGAAGTGAATAGTATGATGAAAACTGTTTCAATGCTGGTCTTCAATCAAAAAGTTGAATGTTTATTCCTTTTGCTTAATAATTAGTACTATACAGCTTTATTTCACTGTTAGTAGTTTACACACAAGTTCACAGCAGTACTGAGAATATGTCCAGCGGCTCTTTTTCACTGCTGCTCTCCCAACTCCACCCCACTCCTCTGAACTCTGAGTGAATCATTTAGCAGGCTTTCCCCAGCTGTGCCATTTTATTTGATAAAAGCTAATTGATTGAGATCAAGTTTGCTGTTGTTCAAGCTTAATTAGAAGTGGGATTCTTTCAGCTGGTTTTGATGAATTCCCAGATGGGTAAATTATGAGGTGGGTTTTTTCCTTGCTTGACTAACTTTAAAGCCAGAATGATAGAACTATCAAGAAAAGATGTTGTGCTTCTTTGAAGACAGAGAAGGCATTACCTGTTGCACTGATGCTAACTCTATGCAGAGAGAGAATCGTCTGAGAGCAGAGGAAAAGTCCTGAGTATGAATGCTGAAATAGAAGAACTGAAGAAAAAAGTTCTCATAGAAGAGCAAGAACACCAAAAACTACTTGAGAAACAAGAGGAATTAATCTCTCAGCTTCAGCAAGAAAAGGTAAACACAGACTCTAGTCTGAAATACTTTAATCCAAATAACTGAGACTCAATGTTCTGATTTTTTTTGGTTACACATCAAGTTTTTATATTTCTAAAGATTAAATCTTTAGAATGTAGAAGTGGGTGCTGGTTAGCAGAAGCTGTGTGCTCTTCTTGGAATAACAGCTCTTGTACAGTAGTTCCAGTTTGCCCATTTGCCCTTCTGTGCTTTAAAGATTGCAAAGTAGCCTTTCATTCTTAAGAAACTATCAGTAGTTTTAAACCCTGTGATACTCTGCAGGAATTGTCTGCATCTATGCACCAGAAGTTACTCAATCTTCAGGATGAGGTAACGAGTGAGAGATGTCTCCTGGAAGAAGAGTTGAAGAGTGCAATGAATGAGCTGGACAAACTACATGCTAAGGAGAAGAAAGCTGAGAAGCTGGTGAAGCTGTTGGAAAAAGAAACCAAATCTAAAGCCCTTGAACTTGCACAGATGGAAGTGAAGTTAAAAGGGTTTGTGAAATGAACTGAGTTTAAAGCTATAGAAAGGGAAAAGTGGAATCAGCAATGTACACAAAGCTTTTGAGCCTCATTCAGGCTTTAAAGAGACCTGAACGCATATAAACTTTTCTTGCTGTTGTTGATTAATTATGGCAGATAGGTTTTCTATCCATATGAGTGATTTATTATAAATTATCTTAAAACTGTTTAACATGCTTGAAGTGCCAATACTGTAGTAATGTGAAGTTACTGTTAAATGTTAGCTACATCTGAGTTGTATTAGATATTTATACCCTAGACAGGGCAATTGCTAGGAAAGATTTTTTTTTCGAGCAAGTTGTTGTTTGTGTTGATGTATTGAAAGCTTACTAGCAGGCAGTAAACCTATTCCATGAATATTTTGGAAGTTAAGAGTGGGGGGTAGTGTTTAGTTAAAGCTGCTAAATCTGAAGATTGTGCTTTAATTCATGAGAAGTTGTGACAGGATACTGGTATGTCAGGATTAATATATTGCTGCTCCTGCAGGCTTTCTGTAATTGATAACAGCGTTTGGTAATGTGTTCAGACATGCTTATGTCCAGCATTGAAATGCTGAATGCTTGTTTCAGGAAGAATGCTGAGTTGGAGCAAATCAAGGAAACGCACAGCAATACAGTTCTGCAAATCCAAGAAGAGCTTAACAACACGCTGCGTAAACTGGGAGAGAATGTTGCTGAGTTTGAAAGGTATTTCAGTTCCATTAAAGAGTAGGGCAGTGATTTTTTTTTTTTTTTAATTAGAATTACAATTATATACGCTGCTCATTTATGAGCAGTGTTTTTTTGTGGTGGAGTGTTTGGTATTAAGCTATTTGTTTTGAGTACCAGTCAGTTATAATGACATGCTCAATAATCGGGAAGCTGTGGATGTTTCTACCAAAGTCTAATCAAGCACTCAAGTGCTCTCCATTTTCAATGATAGCTGCAACTGGTGAAGACCATCTCTGTGCTCTGAAATAACTTGCAGAAAGCCTTCCTGATTCAGTGCAAGTTTTGAGACTTAACAAGGTTTTTTTTTTTTATCCTACAGCTTTTGCAAACCTTCTCAAAATATTGAAGTAGTACATTGATAAGAATGCAAGGCATCCCACAAGTGTTGATGAATCTTTCAGATGTAGTCAGTCTTTCAGTGTTTGTTTTCACCAAAGCATGAGTGATCCATAGTATTCCTGCTTAAGGCTTTATGGGTTTATACTTAATCTATATTTTGTCTAAAGTGGCAATACTTATCTTTGCACTGTCATGGCAGCTACAAGACAACAACAGCTGAAGAAATACGCAGTCTTAAACTGGAGAACACTTCTCTGCAGGAGCAAGTTGCTGACCTGAAAAAAATATGTGAAGATAATCTACAGCTGCTCCAGGAAGCAGATTACACTAAAAACAAGGCAAAAGAAGAATGTGCAAGGTATTGGGCTGACAAACTTTTCCTCTACCTAAAGAATGCTAGCCAAGGCTTGCTTGCCTTCTGCGCTAGAAATTATCAGTTTTATCCAATAAAATGAGTACTCAGTGTAGCCTTAAATTTTTTCATTTTCTCAATTCATAGGTTTGAAAATACTGATAGACAAAATGAATTAATGTTTTATTAATTAGTAAACTAATTGATTCAGTTAATTACTAAGTAGCTTTCCTTCATGTGGACCCATAGGTGAAAGTTGAACTGGTTCTGTTGGAATGTTGCTCTTAGAAATATCAGTTACATTGACTGTTCCACAAATGAACAAGCTCTATGGAGCAGATGAGCAAATATTGAATTTGTATGTGATGATCTACTACTGCTTTCTGAATTATGTCTGTCATCTCAAATTCTGCTTACAAGCAGATGCTGCTTAACAGATTACTACCCTGCAGTGAAAGAAACCAAAGACCTTCCTTTGCTTAATGTGCAGCTGTAAGTAGCAAAACCAGCTGTTGTCTTAGGCCAGTTATTGTGGACGTGCTTCTCTCACCAGCTAACTGCAACTTAGTGATTCAATATTGTCCTTACAGCTCACTGTGACAGACCAGGTATAAGTCTGCTGTTGTGGGCAACTAACTGATGATTGGAGGATATCAGAGAGTTGGGTGTCAAAAGGTTCCAGTATACAAATGCCAGTATTAGGCAGCCCTGGTAACTGCTTGTACGTTAGGGAAGAACATATTGTGTGTGTGCTAGCCTGCCTTCCCCTTTTCTCTTAATGCTCCTAGCTAGCTCTTAAAGCTGAGGTTGGGTTTAAGCCCACAATTACACTTCAGTCTTTCCAGCCATTCCATGAATCAACTTTCCTGACTTAGAAAAGCATTTCTGTAATGCTTTTGCTGTCTTGTTTACCCTTAGCCACGATATTAAGGTTAACCAGAGCACAATCATAATCATACTTGCTCCAACTTATTTCAGAACGCTTTTGCTACTTAAGGTGTTGTCCTTTTTTTCCCCCAGCTGCTTGATGTTTCCTCCAGTTTCTATTTGAGTTGTGGGACTTTTTTGGCTTGTTGTCTTAATTATTAAAAAAGCTGAGGAATTATTTTTTGAGTTGGTCATAGTAGACTGGCAGGAAAAGGATTGTTAGTCTCTACCTAGATGGTGCAATGAACAGCTGAAGTAAGAGAAGGAAAGCAGTGTATTAGAGAACTTGGAAATCCTTGGGAGTCATCCACACTACTTGAATAAACTTGTGTGTGCAAGTCTAACTAGCCAGGTGTCTTTCACTAAGAGTTGCTAATACTTAACAGTAATAAATACAAGAAACATAATGTTGCCTTGCTTTCAAAAGACAGCTTCCTTGTAGAAGTTAAACTGTAGGTCTTGCGTTTGAGTGTTTTCTGGACTATATTTCTATCTTAGAGTAATGTTAGTACAAATCTTAATTTCATTTACTTCAGAAACAGCTTCTGAATGTGGTGAATATTGTTTTTACATTTAGCTTTATTTTATTTAATTTTAATTTACTCTGAAGATGTTTAATTGGGCTTCACTAAGGGTGGCTTATGTTTTCATTAGGATGATTTTAGAAGCCCAGACAAAGCTTGCTCTAAAAGAAGCAGAAGCAGAGAGAACAAAAGAGTCTTGCCTCATACAAGTGACAAAACTACAGGAAAAACTGGAAGAGTTAACTGAAGATCTGAAAAAAAAATCTGAAGTGGAAAAATCAAGGTGACTTCTGTGAAGCTGAACTTGGGTATTGCAGCACACTACAGTAGGAAGGTGTGCTGAGAGCTAATAGTAAAAATGATGCAACTTTACTTTTTGTTTCTTAGGAAAACCATACATGAAGACATGACCTCTAGCTTAAAAGAAGAGATAAAGACCTGGCGTAATCTATATGAAGAACTGCATAACAAAACTAAGCCCTTTCAGGTGTGTAAGGAAGTCAGTTCTCACTGGTATCTTGTTAATATTTATGTGGTTGAATCAAGTTCTGCTCTTGATAAATAAATAGGCTATTTCTTCATTTGAAGGCATTTATTCTGCAGCGTTTTTGTAAGTTAACATCCCTTGATACAGTTGTTTCCCTTTCCAAACCATTGTCTGTACTTGCAGATCTCCATTTGGGAGGAAGGGTGTAGTGGGGGAAACAAAAACACTCAAATTTTATTTCTATTAAATGTACTATATGTTTCAGCAACAACTAGATGCATTTGAAGCAGAGAAAAATGCTCTTCTAAATGAGCAAGGTGCAGCTCAAGAAGAACTGAATAAACTAAGTGAAGCGTATGCTAAACTACTTGGCCACCAAAACCAGAAACAAAAAATCAAGCATGTTATGAAGTTGAAGGAATATAATACCCACCTGCAGCAGGTTTGTCAAATAAGTTAAAAATGGAGAATTTAACTGTTTGCTTGATTGTTTTCTTATGCTAAATCCTCCAAATTCTTGCAGGCTAATTCTGCAGACTCTGTTTTCTGTAGCTGTTGATTTCCCTGAATGAGCTAGTTTAGAATAGGCCATCAGTCTCCAGAACAGCAAGGGGATCTGTTAGCGTTACGTACACAACATACAGAGGTATCTTTCCTGTTTTTCTTTATCTAACTCCTGAGTATTTTTTTCTTCAGGACATCTCAAAACTGCGTGCGCTTCTTGCAAAAGAGAAACAAACAAACAGAGATCTGCAGGAGCAGCTGTATACAATTCAGGGCGTTAGGCGTTTTGATCCTTCTAAAGCTTTCCAGCATGATAGCAAGGAAAATATTCCTCCAAAAACTCCTTTTAAAGAAGGTAAGCGTGGATATTCATAAACTCAGTCCTTGTGTATCTTAAATGTATCCAAAAAAGATATGATAGTCTTGCTCAATGTACCCTACTGGGAAATGAAGGAGGTGGCACATGCTGTATTTCACAGCAGGTACTGGAGGCTACAGCTGTGTGGGATCTTCTCAGTGGATTTTTTGCCACTGCACTTCCTAGCCTTGTTTTTTTTAACCTGGGATCTATTTGAAGTCAGACAGCAAAGCTTGCTTGATGTTGAGAAGTGGGTTCTGGAGAGTCAAGTGGTTTATGTGATATTGCAAGATGCGAACCTAATTATCCTGCTGTTTGTCACCTACTAACACTCTTCTCACAGCTTACCTGCTGTGTCCAGCACTACCTCTTACAAGAGCAGCAAGAGTAAGAAGGGCTCAACTAGATGTCTGAGCCCATCTTTTTGAGCTGCTACCTTACAGAGCCTTATCCTGCTGTAGCTGTACAGGTAAAAGTAAAAGGCCTATAGGTAAAAAATGGCAAGAGTGCAAAAAGGGAAGCAGACTAGGAGAGAGAAGCAGCAATTAATTTCAACTAGGCCTTCACTTCAGAATGTTTCAGTGTCTGAAATCATGGTCTTGCCTGTTAGGTGGTATCTAGTGCCTCCCTCTCCCCCACCAGACAAATATCTGCTCAGTTTGGAGGGAGCAATTGTGCAGCACAAAAACTCAGTGATGTTTTTCTTTTGCAGGCAATAGAAACAAAGTTTAGTCTCTTCTCATTGTTGAGGAAACAAGTACTACAGAAGATTTCAACAGACCGTTCAAGATGAACTTGGCTGCCATCTGTAATAGGCATTGCTATGAATACTTGGGATGTGATTAAAAAAAAAAAAAGCCATTTTCAGAAAACAGCTTGGTCGTACTCTTACTTGAAGACATAACTGGTATGTTCCAGATTCCTGGTACTGCCACTATAACTGTCATTGTTTGACTTGCTTTGTTTTCTGAAGGTACTCAGTTTTCAACAGGTCAGCTTGAGTTCAGAGAAGGTGAATAATCATGAGGGAACAGGGATGACAAACAAAACATGCCTTTGTGAATGTTATTTTGTAACTATTGAGTTTCTGCAGTTTGTTAAACTAATTTTGCTGGTTATGGTTGCTTTGATGCCAAGGGCAGAAATGATTTCTAAAAACCCTTTTTCCTTTGTGGCTTATGTAATATAGAACAAATGTAAAAACTATATTGTGTAGTTGGCATGGATATTTTTAATGGGATCCATATTTAAGGCGTTGTAACTTCATTCCTGGGGCTGGATAATGCAACTCTTCTCAGAAAAAGATTTCCAGGTAAAACTCAAAACAGCTGCTTTGTCCATCTAAATGTTTGTATCATGTGGCTCAGATAAGTGTCTTAAGGGGAGTTTGTTTTACAGATGCTGTACTCGCAAGACTTAAATTGTCATGGTCATTTTAGTTGTCTATCTTAGCTGATCTTATGTGAAAGAGAATACTAACGGAACTTGGTTTGAGTGAGAGGATGCCCACTACACACTGATTGTGTAGAACTGTTTTTGGCAAGGTGGAAGTAATCTGTTGAAATGCATCAAAAATCAAGGATATTTTAGAATAAATATTTCCAATGATGTTTTGTCTTTGTCCTTTGTCAAGAGATGAAAACCAAAATCAAATGATGTTGTAAATGACCTGGTGTTCCAAACTTAAATCTTCACAACAGAACTCACTGTCAGTCTTGCCTGAAGGACACTGCAGTTTTCTAATCTTACTGAAGAAACTATTCAGTTGAACTGCATGTTGTAGGTGACTTGCAAATCCCTTATTCTCTCACTTCCTGTGAATTTCTATTAGTACAGAAGTAATGGAACTGAAGTGAAATGTGGAACTGCTTTTGCTAATAGTATGCATTACTGTCTTGTACATGGGTGCTGCAATGTACATAACTTGAGGTATTTAAACTGACACCACAAGGTTATGAAGCATGGGGGTACTGAGAAAAGATGTGTATTAAGTCTAAGGAAGTATGTGGATAGATCTGGTAGCTAATGCGATCTTTGTGTGTTTGCTGTGCTATTTGAACTTCTGAAGAGGAGGATTGAATTGGCAAGATTCAATTTACACATACAAAATTTGCAATGTAGGAGCTTTTCTGAAGCACAGAGTTACTTGAATGAAGAACTTGAGAGAATTTCAGAGTGTCAGGGTTCTCAGTCAGACAGGAGAAAACTATAAAGCTAGCTGGTTTTGTTTGGCTTTTTTCTCTGAAAAGCAACTCTGTGAATGGAGTAAAAGAAACCTACGGAGGATGGGGGCCTGGGCTGCCTGTATTAAATGTATTAATCTGGTAGTAAACGTGGAGGTTGATGGCCCTGCATGTGGTAGGGGGGTTGGAGATTGGTGATCCTTGAGAAACTTCAACCCTGGCCATTCTGTGAACTGGTGTAGTCTTGATGGTCTTTGTAGAAATTGCTGTGTTAAGTAGTCTTGTACACCTAACAGTGACTGTGGTAAGGTACATGGTTAGGCCATGCTGTCTGTGAGCCACACTGCAAAGAGTAATGGGGTGGGGGAGAAATCTGTAAAACACGACTGAAAATGGAAGAACTCGGGCAACGTGTGATGATACTACATGAGAGTCTTTGTCTTAGAATTATTTCATACAAGGTTGCTGGTGCTTGCCTATCTGCTCAGGTAGGCTACACCAAAGGGGATTTCCAAGGTAAAATTTCTGTTCATAAACCAGAAAGCAAAAAGCTGGTGGAAAAACCCTGACAAAAACAAGTGCTTTCAGTTATGTAAGCTAGCCTTTTATTTCAAGAGATTAAGGCAAGTGAATGTTATTGGAAGGCTCTAGGAAGCTCAAGCAAGGAAATGATAGCATTGAATTAATGTAGCTTTTTAAAAATGTACATCTTATGTGTCATGTTAGCTGAAGTTTGCCGAAGGGCAAAGACATAGCAAGTGCAGTACTGCAGGTATTGCAGGGGTACCTTTTTTGTGTGCCTCAATGGTTAAAGCTTTCTACCCTAATTGGCATTTTTGCTTATGTCCATTTTAAATCCTTATTAAACTATGAAGGGCATGTTTCACACGGGCAAAAATAAGAGCAACTCTCAAATGACTGGGACCTAGTTGGTAAAGCAGTGCCAGGTTTTGTTGTGTGGTTTTTTTTTTTGTTGTTGTTTTTGTTTGGTTTTTTTTTTTTTTTTTTGCTTTAACTTGAAAATATGGAGTGTAGAGCAATTTTGTAAGTGGTAAAGGAGGAAGCTGCTAACCTGGGAGATCTTTCCTGTCCTCTATAAAAAAGGGTAAGGAGAGCTTTGAAGTGTGCAGTGGTTGAACCTGGTTATGCTGCTGTTCCCGTGATCCTACCGAGCAGCTTAAATGGAGCTAGCGGGAAGAAAACAAAGCATAATAGGATTCAGATCTACACGTGATAGTTTTGGGATTAGTGTCCTGGTTTGAAAGGTCAACGGACCTCCGCAGACAAAAGCAGAGAAAGGTGCAATCGCTGCCCTGTCTGGTCATTCCTCCGGAGGTAATGCCTCAAGTGCTGGCAGAACCGGGGCAGGTAAGGCACTGGGCGGTTAGGGAGGAGGATTGCTGCCGTACTCCAGTGTTGCGATTGAAGGGAGGAGAAAGAGGGAAACGGTGTCTGAAATTACAGTATGAAACAGAGTGGTCTAGTCACCTCCTGGGGCGTTGTGCTCACAGGGCTATTACGTGGGTTATAAGCGAGTAGGTATTAATGATTTCACTGCTTCAACGTGGTTAAGTATTATAACCTATTTAAAAAAAAAAAAAAAACAAAAACAAAAACAAAATAAAAAGGATGAAAGGTGATACGGCAAGCAGTGATCATGTAAGAGCAACGAAGCTACTCGAAGTATAACGAAGTATAGAACAGGAGGAGAAGTAGCACCTCCCACTCAGTTTGTGCCCCTTGCGCTGCCTCACTCGCGGCGGCCGCGGCGTTGCTTTCGCTAATCGAAGGCTTCCGCAAGGCGATAAGCAGACCTCGCCCCCACCCCGCCGCCCTTACCGGCATTTCGCCGCCCTCGGCCCCTTTAAGGCCCTTCAGCCACTCAGCGCGCGGCACCGCGCTGCCGGGGGCGGGGCCCGGCGCTGTGAGGGCGCGTCCCGCGGCACGCACGTCCGCCGGCAGCGGCGGCGTAGCGGAGGAGGCCGAGGCCCGGGGGGCTGCGCGCGGCGGCCATGGTGGGCCGCGAGAAGGAGCTCAAGATCCGCTTCGTGCCCGGGCGCTGCGAGTTGGTGGAGGTGCGCGGGGCCGCGCCGGCCTCCCAGGACCGCGGCGCCGCTCCCCGTGGGGTGGGCCGCCGTGCGGGTCGCTTCGGTCGGGCCGTGCGGTGGGGCCGGGACGCGCCGCGAGCGGTGTCGGTCGGTCGCGTGTCGGCGGGCGCGGCGCTACCCGAGCGGCGGAGCTCCGCGGCGCCGAACGGCGTCCGCGAGTCCCCGAAGCGTTACGGCCGCCCGGCGGGCTCGCCGCTCTGGCCGCGCGGGGCGATGTACCGGCGCGAACCCGGGGCTCGCCGCTGTGCAGGCCGCTTGCAGTGGGAGTCGTTCGGCTCGTCGTGGCTCCGTGCCGTCCCGTTCTGGTTCCTTGTGTCGCTTTCCTGCCGGCCGGTCCTGGCTCTTGACTCGAAGCATGCCTGCGGTTTTTGTAGATCGTACTCTTGTGTTTTGTCTCGTAGCGTTGCTAATCTGTACACGTTACTTCTCGTGTGAGGTTACGCATTCGCGTTGGTCCTGCTGTATTTTTAGAGCGTGTCTTCCTTCTGGTTTGTGCAGCAAGTCCTTGATGTGGGTGATATGCTCTGTCTGCAGAAGCAGCAGTAATCTCTCCTATGAGGCTGAAAAGTCCGTAACAGAGAAAGCAAGCACCATTTCCTTGTTCCCACTTCTCAGAGGCACGCAGGCAGCCCTGAGGAGCAGTCAGCACACTTCTGTTCTCTGATCAAAGTCAACATAAAGATAGGCATATTTATTTTTTAACATCGTTTGTTGCGGTTTGCTGTTTTCCAGCTAAGAGATACCCATTTTCACCCAGTATTTATGGAAATAAATAACTTTTTGCCATAATGCTGAGGAACATAGATGCACGGTGCTGACACAGCTGCTTTGGGCTTGGCTGTACCCATCACACCTCTGCACCTGGCAGGACAGAAAACTTAAGACTCAAAGGGCAAAGAGTAGAGAAATCAGTGCTGCAATCAGCCACAGTGAGCGTGTTGAGCTGAATCCGTGAGGGTGCTCGGAAGGGAGCGGGTTATCAGAGCTGCATAGCAGACTGTTACCAAAAGCATACTCAGCACAGTATCCTTGTGCAGGGTGCAGTTGGGAAATCCAGGATTTGTAGTTCCTGTATACTTGAGGCTTTCTTTATGGACATAGCAGCATGTGCTTTCATTTTTGTTCTCAGCAGGCTTTTGTTCAACATTATGTGTGGAAGGAAAGTGTGAAAGTGAATAAAGGTTGTACAGACAGCTATGAGTCAGTGTTTGCAGTCTTGAGGGCTTGACAGTAGTGAGTGGTGCTGGGGAGAAAGGAGCTCCATGTGGACCGCTGTATGTGGCCATCCCAAGTACTGAATGTGCTGTGGCTGAAGCAAGGCTTACTTGGTCGTAGAGATTAAGAGATAAAGTAACCTGATTGCTTTCACCTGCGTTTTATTAAGCTAAGACAAGAGTGCAGTAGTTTTGGCTAATTTGTTATTAGGCTGGTGTGCTCATAAATGATGAATTTATTTTATTTAGTAATATGCATGTTGCTCTGGAAGTAATGCTTCCTATTTGATAGAACAAATTTTCAGCTACAAAGCACTGTTTTTCAACTGTCTGCATCGTTAGCTGTGCATTCTCACCCTCACTGATAAAACTGGACCAGCCAAGGTGACCTGATGCTGCCACTACTGAAATGCACCACCCACCACCTCCCTGTGCTCACATCCACTGTCTGGTCTCTGTGAATGTTCAGCAAGTGCTGAGGAACAGCACTGGGTACCATTTTTCTCCGCATAGAGGAATTCAGTACATCACCTTTGCTTCATACACACTTTCATGTCAGATGCCATCATGTCTTACTGTCTTTCTGTTGTCACCTGTCACATGGCAACAAAATGTTATGGAATATTGGTGGGAAGGTACAGCCATCCTGCCAGCATCTGCCTCTGATGTCATGGAATAACATAATAAAATAGGAGGCTTTATTTTCAGAGATGCCCCTGTAAAGTTCAAGTTTTCTGTGCCATGATCTCTGTTGGTGCACCCACAGTGAGTTAGCAGATTATGAATGAGGTTAAAATTATCACTTTTGAGTTTGTCTTTGGACATTTATGGGGATTTTTTTCCCTCTCTTGTGGAAGTACTTGAGTTTCCCATTTGAATTTTGTATTCAGCATCTTCAAGAGTATGTTTAACTACTTGACTCTGTACAGTATCAGTGCTCCTAGCTGTGTGTTTTCCATGAGACACTCAATTCACAATGCATCATAATGAAAGCTTATTAATACAGCAGCCCTCCCTGTAGCCTTGCTAACACTTCAAAATGAGAAGTCCATGAATAACAATAGAACACAAAACTTCTGCTGTTCTCCTTTCCTAGGAAGATA